TAGCTAACTAACCCCTTAGGTCTCTTGGAATCTTGCTCTTCAATAAAGCAGCGAAATCTGAGTCACTGGCCTGACTTTTTGAGTGACTCTCTTTGAAAGGTAGGGCGGAAAAAAGTGATACTGAATCCACGTGTTGCATAAGGTTTTTTATTTTTAAATCTGCCCTCTAAAATCACAGACAGGATGTTGATACCCTGTGCTAGTAAACATTCTGCACTATTTAGAAATAGAAAATGAATCAGGGGTTCTGAAAGGTGTGTGATTATATGGAATAGAATGAAAATTAATTCATTTTTGGTATAATTCACCTGATAAGGGCTAAGTTTGCTGATTCATAAAAGTGAACTTCATCTTCAATTTACACTGACAAAAAAAATAAGTGGGAAGAGGGAGATTTCTTAGTACAAAATATAACTCCATTCAAAATTAAAAACAACAATGTGTGATTGTGGTTGAGAGAGTATTAACTGTTTCTCATGTCTTGTAAATAGAACAGAATAGAATAACAGAGTTGGAAGGGATCTTGGAGGTCTTCTAGTCCAGCCCCCTGCTGAGGCAGGAAACCCTATACCAGTGGTTCTCAACCTTTTTAATGCCGCGACCCCCAACCGGTCGTAAGTCGAGGACTACTCAACCGGTCATAAGTCGAGGACTACTCAACTGGTGCAGCACCGTTTGCAGAATGGGACTTTTGGCGGGCTCAGCGGGGCAGAGACAGCCTGGACAATTCCTATTGGCTTTTGAAAGCCAATAGAATTAGACTCTATTCAAGAGAGTCTATTCTATTGGCTTTCAAAAGCCAATAGAATAAAAGGGAGTGGCACAGCTAAGGAAAAGGGAAAAAAATGGCGGACTGCGTTGTTTGGCGACCCCCGTGAAATGGTCATTCGACCCCCAAATGGGGTCCCGACCCACAGGTTGAGAACCACTGCCCTATACCATTTCAGACAAATGGCTGTCCAGTCTCTTCTTAAAAACTTCCAGTGTTGGAGCATTTACTGCTTCTGGAGGCAGGTTGTTCCACTGGTTAATTGTTCTCACTGTCAGGAAGTTTCTTCTTAGTTCTAGGTTTCTTCTCTCCTTGGTTAGTTTCCATCCGTTGCTTCTTGTCGTGCCCTCAGGCGCTTTGGGAAATAGCTTGACTCCCTCTTCTTTGTGGCAACCCCTGAGAGATTGGGATACTGCCATCATGTCCCCCCAATCCTTCTCTTCATTAAACTAGACATACCCAATTCCTGCAACTGTTCTTCACATATTTTATCCTCCAGTCCCCTGAATGAAGGATTTGATGAATGATGAATGATTTTTAGAAAAAGGAAAATGGATCCAGTTCCAAGCAGTTTTATCATCTCCTCCTCATATGAAACAGGTGTCCTGTCTAACACGTCTGCCGCTTTGTTGTTTTGTATCTTCCCCCCACCCCAAGCAAAATATATATTATCTATCTATCTATCTATCTATCTATCTATCTATCTATCTATCTATCTTCATTCAAAATTTCTAATAATTAGTTTATATGATGGGTTTTCCTTTGAAACGATACAGATGACTGACTTACAGCCAGATGCTGACAGTATGGAATAGCTTATTTGATCCCTATTGTGCTCTCTTTTTAAAAAGATTTTAAAACTATTTTGATAGGAATTTGAGGCATTAGAGATACAGTTGAACTATCTTTTAATTTGGGGATATTTTTATGGTTGGTTCCGGCTTTTAGTTTAGATGATGGTTTTATTTAGCCACAGTCGGTGGCTTTGTTTTCACATTCAATATATTATACTGTTGTCAATCATTTGGAGTCTTCGCATTATGGCTAACATTCAAAAGTTTATACTAGTAAATATCTATTTTTAAAAGATCTTGCTGTGTGCGGCTTGAAAGATTCTGTCTTTTGTTTTCATGAATTAGAAATTTAAAAAAAAATGAAGATTTTTTTTCCCCCTAAAGCAATAAACTGTACATCCCAGAATGCGCCAGTATAGTTGGCGGAACATGGGCAAGAGAATGTCGGTTCTCTAGGTAAATCACAGAGGCTAACTTGCAAATACAGGTAGTCCTTGACTTATGACCACAATGGGCCCAAAATTTATGTTGCTAAGTGAAACATTTGTTAAGTGACAAACATTTTGCCCCATTTTATGACCTTTCTTGCCATAGTTAACAACTGTCAGTCATTACATCATTAGTAACACAGTGGATAAGTAAATCTGGCTTCCCCATTGACTTTGCTTTGTTAGAAGATTGGAAAAGGGGGAATCCCGTAACCCGGGACACTCCCAACCGTCATAAATATGATCAGTTGCCAAGTGTCTGAATTCAAGGGGATGCGACAATGTTCGTAAGTATGAACAACAGTCATACATTACTTTTTTCAGTGCCGTTGTAAGTTTGAAAGGTCACTCAATGAACTGTTATAAGTCGAGGACTAGTATGAATGAGATGGGAACAAAATTGGCTTTGGGTGTACTGATAGCAAGTTGCTCCCCCCCCCCCCAAAAAGGGGAACGTGTCATTGATGAATGGATGTGAATTGAATACTCAACTGAACGATCAGCCCCAAAAAGAAGCACATTTAGGTGGTTGGGTCATTTGGAGAGAAGTGAAGTGCAGGCCAACTCGTACAAAACAAATCTCTGAAGGGAAAGTGAACGGGTTGAGAGGAAGAGGAGGAACAAGAACATTGCAATTATGGCATTTCGTGAAATTGTCAAAAGAGAAAGCAATACATGCAAAGGCTTACAGGCACTCTGTGAATCAGTGGCAATGATTTTGCATGTGGCAAAATCAAAATCGTTTGCAGTGCCAGAAAGGCATCAAGAAGTATAGTGAACAGTGACGATGTAAATTTCCTTTTCCTTTTGTTTTCCTTCCCCCTCTTCTTGTTTTACATGTCTTCCTTCTGTATATTTATCAAATTCATCTCTGCCTGCTGATGACCAAAAGGACTGTCAGTGGCTTACATAGAATATAAGTAGAAGCAGTTTAAAACATCCACCTTTAAAACTATACACAATGTGCTTGCTACTTCTGTCTTTATGTTCTTTGTATAATATTGCTTACAGTGAAAAGAAATGGCATGGAGGGTGTGTGTGTGTGTGTGTAATGTATGTATATAATATGTATGTATATGTGTGTGTATTCAAAATTTTGTGGCTGACAGAGTCTTTGTCAGCTACAAAATTTTGGATTTACAGTATTCACAATAGTGAGGTCTGCCTGCAAAATATGCTCCTATATTGGAGCAAAATGCAGAACAGACTGATTTATATTTAGTAGACCGGGTGCTTCACCCAACAGATAAGATATATATGTGTATATATATACTCAACAGAATTCTCAATTTTATTTATATATATGTGTGTGTTTTCTGAGGTTTTTGCGGGTGTTTGTATGTAGGTCTTTGGTTATTCGGGTTTTCTCCCGCGTAAAATTGGAAGTGTCTTGACGACGTTTCGATGAAGTCCCATTCATCATCTTCAGGCTGGTGTTTTCGGCTTCGTGCTTCACGAAGCTGACAAGATATATTGCTGACAAGAGTTAAAGATTTAAGTGGGAGACTAGTATAGCTATTTTGGACTCATTTTGTCCTCATCAGCTAGCCACACCCTTTAGGGGATTCAAAAGTGGGCAATCTACATGCTAGGCAGTTGTATTAATCACCAGGCCACAGGCTCTCCTCCCCTCTTTGTCAGCCGAGTCAAGGGAGTATATACAGGAAGTTTTTCAGACAGACGGTCTGATTGATTGCACCTTAGGCATTTTGACTGCTATACTGCAGTTCTACTTTTTTATAATCTCTTTTGCCTTGCAGCCCCCCCAACTAGGGGCGTTAAGCAGGTTCAAGTCGCTATTGCGATACATTACAAATTGAGATTTCTTTTTTGCTGACAAGAGTTAAAGATTTAAGTGGGAGACTAGTATTGCTATTTCAGACTCATTTTGTCCTCATCAGCTAGCCACACCCTTTATGGGATTCGAACCTGGGCAGTCTACATGCTAGGCAGTTGTATTATATTACACACACACACACACACACACACACACACACACACACACACATTAATTGAGAATTCTGTTGAGTATATACTAATACAAATAGAAGGGACAGAGTAGAAAAACAATGCAGCAGATAGAATAAAATAAAAAAACCCAGGCAGGGCAACTCACAAAAGTTACCGCGTATATGGCATCCTGGAAGGATGTGTTGCAACTGAATATTTGAATTTTAAAATTACCCTTTTCTGAACTTTCAAGATAGAATGAGAATCCTTCCAGTCCCGTTTTGACACTGGTTCGGTTAGGAGTCAGGCATTTAAAATACTTGTGTTAGGGTCTGGGATAGCCAAACTGAGATAATAGACCAGGGGTGTCAAACTCAATTTCATTGAGGGCTGCATCAGCATTGTGGTTGCCCTCGGGGGGCTGGGTGGGTGTGGCCTACTGGGTGGGTGTGGATGGAGTGGGTGTGGCCTACGGTGGGCATGGCCAGCTCTACATCGTTCGCGTCAAGGGTGCCTGTCGGGGCCTGGGCAGGAGTGGGACAGATCTGAGGGTCTCTGGCAGAAGGGGGTGGGACCGGGGCAAGCGCCAAGGCATGGTCCATTTCTTCATTCCTCACAAAGGGTGACACCTCCCCAGCATGCACCCAGGGGGCAGGGCCGACGCAGCAGGGGCTGGTTCCTCTCTGTTTCTAGATGGCCTTGTGGAGCTAAGACTGAATGTGTTTCAGCATAGAAGGCAACCACAAAATTGTACATTGGCTCTTGGTCGGCCTGGGCCAGGGCCAAGGCAGCGGGGGCCATTCCCTCACTGTTTCCAGGATGGCTTCGCGGGCCTCATGAATCCACTTCGAGGGCTGCATCCGGCCCCCGGGCCTTGTGTTTGACATGTCTATTAAAATTAGGTGTGCTGAGTACCTCTGTCATAGTGTTTTGCTTCCATCACTTCAGCTTGAAAGTGTAAAAGAATAAGAATTGTTTGTGTCTTTTTTTATCTTTTAGATTTTTGCCATTTACTGAGCCCGCCCTGTTTCACGGAGGAAGATAAATACAGTCTGGAAGCCCTCTGTACAATTCATAAACAGATGGATGATGACAAAGACGGTGGCATTGAAGTAGAGGAAAGCGATGAGGTTAGTATGGACATATGTTAGTTTTAGTGCTACGTGTTCCTATGTAAATGTACAGCTGCGCTATTTCACATAATCCTGGCAGACAAATTAGAAGGAAAAAAAAAAAACCACCCTTCACTTGGCGTTTTGGCGCATTCCCCAAGAATGCAGATGACAGATTTAAGATAAATCTTGAAATTAATTTGGATAGCAGTGCATAGATATTTCTGCTAAAAGTGTAGTTTGTATACCGAAAGACAGACGGTGTATGCCGCTGGAATCCAAATAGTCAAGTTAAAACCAGCCGTTATTTTATTTTCTGCACATGTACAGGAACAGGGTAAAAGCAAGGCTGTGGTACATGGGGTTTTTATACTATTCTGCAGCATTTACTGTTCTTAGCAGATCTGCCTCTCCGTAGTGGAGAAGGACTGTATCAATCACATTAATTGAATCAAGGCCCCTCAAGTATTTTTCGTGCTTTTTGTGTTACATGTATTTTCTGTTTTCTTGGTCTTTCTGCTGCTTGCTTTTTAAAACGCCTGTTCAAACAAGTGGCTTAATATGAAAGCTATTTTAATTCAAACACTGGTTCAGTTTAGTAAAGATGGGAAAAGTTTAAAAAGCAGCAAGACAAAAAAACGAATAGTCTGACTCATCGTTAGTGGTCGTTTGGTGCTATTAATGGGGTATTAGTAGCCTAGTTCAAATAGTAACTCCAACTGTTCTCCCCCCCCCCCCGTGGTCCTCGTCTATCATCACCATAGGGAAATTAATAATGCGGTAAAATGTAGACTGCACCAAGATAGGAACAGGACACAGACATGTGAGAAAACGCGTGTTTTGGTTTGCGCTCCTCTCATGCAGAAGTGGGAATTTTTAACAATTCCTATTTAGATGTCCTCACAGAATGTATGTCATCAGGTTGGGTGAAGTCATCCTGATGTAAAGCTGCAACATGAAGAGCTTTCTAAGGGATAATAATCAGCAGTTTGAATTGGACCCCACAGTTGTGTGGCCACTGTATTCTCTTAACAGCTGTAGCATCTGCACATTGCAAAAGTCCAGACCTGTGGTGGGAAAGCGACTTGGTATTTCCACAACAGAAGATCCTGTCATATTTGCCACAAGTGACAGAATGTGACTTCGTGATTACCTGCAGTGAAGTGTTTTTCTTGGCTGCTTCTGTTTTTCTGAAGTACTTTTCCTGCTTAAATGTGTGAAGTACCTATTGTCACATCAATCTCCCCTGTGTTAACCTTCTATAGGTAAATATTATTGATGGATATATTTCATTGCCTTTTTTCCTTCCCGTTTTTCATATACACATTTTCATCTATTTGCTTTCTTTTACTGTAGTTTCTCAATCTATTTTAATGGCGTTTTTATTTGTAAATTCTCTTGAGATGTGGCTACATAGGAATCATAATATAGCAGAACTACTGTCAATAATAATAATAATAATAATAATATTGGGGCTTGTGTACTCTGAGGAAGATGAGAGCTATGCCAGAGGTTCAACCATACTGGACAGGTCTCATCAGAGGAGTCAGACAAAGAGTGTCTCTCCCATAAAAAATATGGTGAGACGTAAATTTCAGAATGCCATACCGGCTCGGACGTCGCCCGGGTTAACAAGGTCCGCGCTAGATATTGGAGTTCCTGGATATCTGGTGAAAAATGGGTTACAGGACTCAGGACTGTTGGCTGAGCAACCAGGGCCAGCAGCTGCAGAACTACTGGAAGAAAAGGTGTTTACCCGTCGCAGATACACAGTGATGGAAAACAAAGAAATAATGATCTGTTACTACAGATCAAGTCCAACAAGATGAGGATATCTAAAACGAATGCACCAGTTCTGGAAAGAACAACATCCAGAATCAGAAATAACAGAACAGAGACTAGCAGATCAACGCCGATTTATAACACGAAATAAAGTATTCACAGAAACAGAATTGGACGAACTGCAAAGGTTTACCCAGGGCAAAGAAATCAAAGCCTTACCAGAAGTAATTCAGAATGTAGAGGCAAACCAGGGGGAGTTGGCAGTGAAAGAATCCAGCAGAGATATACAACTGTTCTCATTTGGAAACCAGGCACCTCTTCCTCAGGAAGAACAAAACCCTCTAACTAAAGAAATAAAAGAATTGAAACAAAGAATAACTGAGCATCTAGAACAGCACAAAAACAACAGAATAAGGCTGCCTGCATTGAAGCTTGTTCCAAAGAAACAGCTAGCACAAGCATTAAAAGATGCAAATACTGCAATATCAAGTATAAGCACCAATTCACTGCAAGAAACAAACCAACTAATGTACAGCACAGCTGCAGTTATAACAGAATACCTGGGATGTAAAATCAACAAAAAAGAAAAACAAACAAACAGTGCACCACAAAAATGGAAGGTTAGACTAGAAAATAAGATCAGCAAGTTAAGATCACATGCAAGCAAGCTAGAACAGATGAAAGAAAAGAAGCTGAAGAACAAGAAGACCAAAGAATACCTAATCAAGAAATACCACTTAGAAACAAGGAAGATCAAGGAAGCACTGGAAATAATAAAGCAACAAATAACAGCTATAGCCAGGAAAATCAGTAGATATGAAGCTCGAATTGCAAACTATAGGCAGAACCTCCAATTTCAATCCAATCAGAAACGTTTCTACCAATCCATCAATGGAGAAACTGCAAGGAATCAGTCAGTACCTGACAAGGAAGAAACAGTGCAATTCTGGAAGCAGATATGGGATAACCCAAAGAAATACAACAAGGATGCGGCTTGGTTAAAAGAGGTGGATGCAAATAAAACAGAAGTTGAAATGAAAGAACTAGTAATAACAACAAAAATGGTAGAAAAAAGAGCAAAGAAAATCAAAAATTGGTCAGCACCAGGTGAAGATGAACTGCATGGGTTTTGGTTGAAACATCTAACTGTTATACACCCACTCATTGCCAAGCAATTCAACAATATACTACAAGGAGGAGAAATTGAAAAGTGGCTAACAACTGGGAAAACCTACCTAATAATGAAAAATCCAGCAAAAGGGGCAACACCAGGTAACTACAGGCCAATTACCTGCTTACCAACAACATTCAAATTACTAACTGGTGTGGTAGCTGATGCAGTACAACAGCATCTAGTTGAAAACAATCTCTTTCCACCTGAGCAGAAAGGAAACCGCCCCAATAGCAGAGGAACAAAAGATCAACTCCTAATAGACAAAATGATCTTGGAAAACTGCAAGAGAAGGAAGACCAACCTGAATGTAGCATGGATTGACTACAAAAAGGCATTTGACTCTCTGCCACATGATTGGATAATAAAGTGCCTAGAAATAACAGGAGTCAGTAGAAACATCAGAAAATTTGTGCAAAGATCGATGGCACAATGGAAGACACAGTTGCAGATCAATGGTGAGAAGCTGGGAGAGGTTAATATCAAGAGAGGAATATTTCAAGGAGATTCATTATCACCATTACTATTTGTTATTGCACTGTTTCCTCTGTCAACAATACTGAATAACTCAGGACATGGCTATCAAACATCAAAAACATCTGCTAGACTATCCCACCTCCTTTACATGGATGATCTGAAGCTGTATGGAAAAACATCATCTGAAATAGAATCGCTGCTCAACACTGTCCGTATATATAGCCAAGATATTGGAATGGAGTTTGGCTTGGACAAATGTGCCACACTTACTATCAAACAAGGAAAAATAGAGAAAACTGAAGGAATCAAGATGCCCCACGAAAATAACATTAAGAGTCTGGATGAGGAAGAATACTACAAATACTTGGGTATCCTTCAAGCTGACAACATCAAGCACACTGAAGTCAAGAAAAAGATTAGAGGTGAATACATCAAGAGAGTGAAGAAGATCTTAAAATCCAAACTCAATGGAGGAAATACCATAAAGGCAATCAACACCTGGGCAATCCCAGTCATTAGGTACACAGCTGGAATAGTGGACTGGACTCAAGCAGAACTAAAAGCAATGGATAGGCAGACCAGAAAAATAATGACAATGAATCATGCCCTTCATCCACGCAGTGACATTGATAGACTTTATCTACCAAGGCAAATAGGTGGGCGTGGAATGCTACAAGTACATCAGATGGTTGAAGAAGAAAAAATGGCTTTGGAAGAATATCTGAAGAACAATGATGAAGATGCACTGAAATTAGTATATCAGGAAGGCTTACTAACTACTGGAGAGACCAAACTGGCCTACAAGAAAGACCAAATGAAGAACAGAATAGAGGCATGGGAAGACAAAGCACTACATGGCCAATACATGAAAAAAATAGCTGGGAAAGCAGATAATAATAAAACCTGGCAATGGCTAAGAGCAGGAAAATTGAAGAAAGAGACCGAGGGACTAATTCTGGCTGCACAAGACCAAGCCTTAAGGACAAATGCATACAAAGTCAAAATTGAGAAGACAGCAACAGACAGTAAGTGCCGCCTATGCAAAGAAGCTGAAGAAACAGTGGACCACTTGGTAAGCTGTTGCAAGAAGATTGCACAGACTGATTACAAGCAGCGGCATGACAAAGTAGCAACAATGGTGCATTGGAAGATCTGCAAAAAATATCATTTGCCTGTAAGCAAAAACTGGTGGGATCATAAAATAGAGAAAGTCATAGAAAATGATAAAATTAAACTGCTCTGGGACTTCAGAATTCAAACAGACAAGCACCTGCAACATAACACCCCAGACTTAACAATTGTCGATAAGAAAGACAAAAAAGTCTGGATAGTGGACGTGGCAGTGCCTGGAGACAGCAGAATAGAAGAGAAAGAACTGGAGAAGATAACAAAATACAAAGACCTACAAATAGAAATAGAAAGACTGTGGCAAAAGCAAGCAAGTAGTACCAATAGTAATAGGCTCCTTGGGTGCAATCCCAAAACAACTGGAGCACCACTTGAACACCATTGGCATTGACAAATTTGCTATTAGTCAATTGCAAAAGGCGGCCTTATTAGGAACTGCTTCCATCCTGCGACGATACCT